TAGACAGAGTTTCTCTGTGTAGCTTTGCACCTTCCCTGGAACTCACTTGGTAGCCCAGGCTGGCCTCGAACTCACAGAGATCCACCTGCCTCTGCCTCCCTGTGTTGTGTCTTATAATTAAACAAATGAATAAACAAAACACACTGTGTTTAGTCATGTGTGTATTAATATGATAAATATTTTATGTAAAAGATTTGAGAAGTATAAAAAAAGAAAATTTTATATTATTATTATTATTATTATTATTATTATTATTATTTTGAGACAGTGTCTCTAATAAAGGTATGTGCCATCACACCTGGTTTAAAGAAGGGACAATTAAGTTACTCTGTAATTCCCCAGTCCACTCTTTGGTGGACACTGGCTTAGTCTTTTTATGATCAAATACGCTGTATACTTACATACACCCATACAGCCATATCCTATCTTTGAAGTCATTTTACAGGTACTATCATGCATACTTGTAAGGTAGTGTTAACGACAGTGTCCTGACTGGCTCACTGTGCGACTCTAGCACTGCTCACTAAATTTCCTTCCCTCCTGTCTTAGCTAGGGTTTCTATTGCTGTGAAGAGACACCATGGCCATGGCAACTCTTAGAAAGAAAACACTTAATTGGGGCTGGCTTACGGTTTCAGAAGTTTTGAGTCCCTGATTTTCATGGCAGCGTGCAGGTGGTGCTGGAGAGGGAGCTGAGAGTTCTGCGTCTTGACCTACAGGCAGCAGAAGGAGATTGTGTGCCACACTGGGTGCAGCTTGAGCATAAGCCTCCTTCGCTGCCAGTGACACACTTCCTCCAACACCACCTACTTCAACAAAGCCATACCTCCTAAGAGTGCCACTCCCTATGGTCCTATGGGGACCTTTTACTTTCAAAGCACCACACCTACAAAGCATTCTTCTACAACTTTTCCCCCTGATAATAGCAAAGTTTCAGCAAGCCACTTTATACAAGGTGTTATGCATTTAAAGATTTCTTGATTTACGTATACAGTGTTCTGTCTGCATGTACACCTGCACACCAGAAGAGGGCGCTAGATCTCATTATAGATGGTTGTGAGCCACCATGTGGTTGCTGGGAATTGAACTCAGGCCCGACCTCTGGAAGAGCAGCCAGTGCTCTTAACCTCTGAGCCATCTCTCCAGCCAGCCCCAGGTGTTATACATTATAAGATGGATGTCTAGACTTCAAATTAACAGGTTAAAGCATGTAAGATCTTTTTAATACTTGTACATATCTTTTTATAGTCACCAAATTGAAGAATCAACAGAACCAAAGGAAGCCCAAGAGAACATAGTAGCTTTACCCGAGAAAGAAGACAAGTCCCACACGCTCATCATCTCAGAACCTCCAAGTATTCCCAAGTTTCCTTTGAATTCGAAATTCTCCAAAACGTCCTTGTATAAGACCCTCTTTGAAGAGTACAAACTCATCGCCTCTGAAGTACTCTACGAACTCGAAAAGACATTGAAGAGGTACGCGAAGAACGGCATGGCTTTTCCTGGGGGACTCATCAATCTCATGACTTACAGCTGGCTAGATCTGATCGAGGATTTTCACGAGAACGAATCCCCAAAGAAAACGTTGGAACGAGACAGGGACTTGGGAGGGGGTCCCAGCTCCATGTCCATCATCAGCTTCAAGGAATGCAAAGTCCACCCAGACGCCAAGGAGCACCCTCAAGAGGAACATCAACTGGTTAAAGCGAGAAAAATTTCTCATGGGGCGCACAACAAACTCTTGGAAAAACCATGTAAGTTGGAGCTACCTGCTGTGTTTATGAGTATTCCATGATAAGTGAACAAGACCATATGTAGGTGAGATCATGGTAAAGCATGATCTTAGTGTTATCTACCTCGTAACAATCATTTCTAGTACTAACTAATGATTGTCAGGAGAAACACAGTGTAAAAGCACATGATAGTCTTCTCCCTTGGGATTCTCTTAACGGCAATCAATACAGTTTTGAATTAAGAATCAGACATTGATTTATGAGATAAAATTTAGGGATAATATATGTTCCCATCAAAGTTACAGAGGAGCCAGGTGGGGTGTGCACCTATGATCTCAGCACTCCCAAGGCTGAGGCAGGATGACTGTTGTGAGTTCAAGGCAAACCTGAGGTACAAAGTGAAATCCTGTCTCTGTTTGCCTGAGAGGAAATCTCGGCTTTTTTTTTTTTTTAATTTTAATTTTTAAAATTCATTTTACATACCAACCACAGATCCTTCTCTCATCCCTCCTCCTGTTCTCCCCCAGCCTCCCGCCCCCACCCCCACCCCCAAGTCTCAGCTTTTATTGCTTACTCTGGCCAGGAGGGGGCTAGAGAATCTGGTCAGCTTCAGGGACTTCCTGAAGCTCTTTTGAGTTCTTTCCCTTCCTGCTTAAGGAACTTCTCTGTAGGATGTTCAATCTATAGGAAATTTACACAGCAGCACCCTATGAATGAGGACAAATGGGTGGACTCAGAGACACATTAGTGTCAGGAGCCAGTAAACTTCACAGGCGGTTTTTTTGTTAGTGTTTTGGTTCTTGTTTGTTTGTTTGGTTGGTTGGTTGGTTGCTTTTTGTTTGTTTTTGGGTTTTTTTGTTTTTGGTTTTGTTTGTTTGTTTGATTTATTGAGACAGAGTTTGAAGAGACTGTGGCCAGCTTGAGGATGGTGGGCATGGTTCTGACAGGCCTTGCCCTTCTCCCCGATTCCTTCTGCCTCGATAAAAACCGTTGGATTGCATTCCTACAGCTAGCCACCAAGGTCTAGTCCTTTATTTGTCCACTTCCTCCTTCCTTCAGTCCAGCTACTGAAGTACTGAAGTCCAGCCATCAAAAGCCCCCTTTGACTGCCCTAATTAACATGCCCAATTAAAACAAAACACCTCATCCTAACAACTGAAAAGGTTTGCCCTTTCCCCTTTATAAACCCACATTTTCCTATGGGCCACCACATCTGTCTCCTCTCTATCCAAAGACAGTCCTTCGTCGTTATCCCCCTGACCCCAGGACAAACATCCCTTCCCCTTCTCCCTGGTTCCCTTCCCTGTCTCCCTCTTCCTCTGTCTCCTCTCTTTGTCTCTTATCCCTGCCTCTGTCCCTCTGGGGCAAATAAGTCTCCTTTGTGCTGAGAACTGGGTCTTAGGTGTTCTGAGCCGATACCCTTACAAAGTTTCCCTGTGTAGCCCTGGCTATCCTGAAACTTTGTAGACCAGGCTGGCCTCCAACTCACAGAGATTCACCTGCCTCTGCCTCCTGAGTGCTGGGATTAAAGGGGTGCGCCACCAAGCCTGGCCTTTTTTTTTTTTTTTTTTTTAATTATTAGGCAGTATTTTCCATTAACAGATCCCGCCCCCTTTGTTAGCATTTGTGTCTATTATTCACTTAACATTCAGTTTTGGTTGAAACACATGCAGGAAACTCAAGGACAGTTGAGAGCCGCCTTAAAGGAGAAAGCCACCATGAAAGTGTCCCTTCCCGCTCTTCTGCTACGGGAAATGTAATCGTCTGATGACCCCGAAGGTTCAGACACTCCTCTTGGCCCATTCCTTGGGGACATGGGGCACTTGTGAGCAGCTCTCTCTTAAAGACTCGCCATGGCTCTGTTGACTGCTCTTAGGCCCCCAATGCGCTATCAGATGTTCCAACCAACTTTCTTTCCTCTCTCTTTTCCTCTCTGGGACTCAGTTTCATGCCACTGCCTGAGAGGTGGCTCCCGATCTCCTCTACTTCCCTCCCTTCTTGTTCTCTCAAGCATTTTGCCTAATACATTCCTAATATATGTCTCGTTCTACATGAACATTTGATTCTCGGAAGCCCTGTCTCCACGCAGGAACTTCCCAGAATCCTGCCCACCAACAAGATCCCGGACCAGTTCTTCCCCAGCAGCCAGCTTTATCTTGACAGCAGGGAATTTGGCAGTCCTGAGTGTCGGGAGGACGAGGGTGCGTGAAGCGTTTCATGTAGGTTAGATCTTTCATTTCCACGACAGGACAGGTAACAGTCTTTAGAGCCGTAAAGGCTCCAGAAGAAGCCAAGCATGGTGCCCTTTGTAATCTCACGGTCTCTCTTTCACTCTTTTTTTTTTTTTTTCTTTTTTGAGACAGGGTTTCTCTGTGTAGCTTTGTGCCTTTCCTGGATCTCACTCTGTAGCCCAGGCTGGCCTTGAACTCACAGAGATCCGCCTGGCTCTGCCTCCCAAGTGCTGGGATTAA